CATGAGAGAATGAAAGAACATATATATATATATATCAGCTTATGTATAACCAAGAGAACAGAAAGAAATTGACGGTGAACATTATCTTTTTTTTCTTTCTTTCCTTCGTTTGCTATAATAAGATATATCATTTCTCCATAGTCGAAGTTTCTTCGGCCCATCACTATTCTTTTCTTCTTCTAGCATAAGTATGTGTTTGTTTTTTTCTTTCACCCTCTTTACATATGCTGATGAGACTCCGTAGTGCAAAATATTCCTATGAAAAATCAGAGTTATTTTTGATTATCAGTACATAAATCTCAATTTTTCTCTCAAACATCCACTTTTCACACCATAATCGGATTAAAATCGATTGAAATCTCACTCAATAAAAACCTAGTTAATGAATTAAAAATTGGTTATTACAAATTCTCTCGGTTGTAGTTCGATTTAAATCAATCTTAAGTTCATTCAAAATTTGAATCATGTTGAATTCATTTCTAAAAGTATTGGCTTGGAGCATAAGTTCAGCACGTTATGTGATTCATCAATAAATTTATTTTTTTAGAAAGATGTGCAATATCAATCAACAATAATACCACCGTTGGTTTTGACAATGTTTGCCCATTTTGCTAGCAATATTTTAATTCCACGTTTGTATAAACTAACCGGTTGTGATTCGAAAAAGGCAGTGAGGTCAGATTTGAGCTCATCAAAGTTTTCAAAGTGTTTGTTGCACACATAGTTATGGAGGAATTGGAACAAATGATAATCGGATGGCGCTAGGTCTAGTAACCAGGGCGGATGCGCAAGAACTTTCCATCCCAACTGTCTGGTTCTTTGCTGAGTCAACTTTGCTGTATGATGTCGGGCGTTGTCATGAAGAAGAATGACGTCTTTTTGATTTGCCAAGTCCAATCGCTTTTCAAGTAGAACTTCATGCAATCGCTGCAGCTGTCGAGAATAGACATCGACGGTAATCGTTTGATTGGTATCTAAAAGCTCAAAATCAATGATACTCTTCATATCCCACCAGATGCCCAACACTATCTTCTTTGTAATGGCATTGGCCAGGATTAAGCCACTGTCGTCGACGATAGACGTTGACGTAGCACAACAATTTTTCATCTCCAGTAACGATTCGTTGCAAAAATGGCTCATGTTCCTGTCGAGAAAGCAATGAAGCACAAATTGATGCTCGCTGAGCCAAGTTGTCTGTGAACAATTTCTGTGGAACTCTATTTCCATATGTATGGACCTTACCGAGAGTCTGAAGATGACACTCCACTGTCGTATAGGGACAGTTAAGTTGCACGACCAATTCGTGTGTTGTCTAATGTGAGTCAACGTGGAGCAAAGCTTCTAACGCTTTATCATCAAAGCCCACAGGTCGCCCGGAGCGAGGCTTATCCGTCAAGGTGGTATCTCCGGAACGGTGGCCTGACAAACAAACGACGACAAGTGTGACTGTCGACGGCTTCCTCGCCATTTGCAACATCAGTATTCCTTGTTGCTTCAGCTGCTGTTAAGCCTCGATTGAACGCATAGAGCATACAGTGTCAAATATGAACTTTTTGTTCATCCATTCAATTTCAAACAACTAAACGTTAATTTTTTTTTAAAGATGAAGAGCCATATATAGGGTGACAGAGACAGGGAAGAATCTGAAGGGTGCGGAAAACCCATAGAAGATGATCGGAACTTTCCCAATAAGAACTAAAGATCACAAAGTTATTACAAAGAGCTAACGAGGGAAGAACAGGTGGAAATGTCCAATATAATCATATGAGAGAAACGAAAGGACAAGTGACTAGTGACATCATTCACAGAATGAAATGCAGAGAACGAAACACTAATATCAAAGTTTATCAACACACATAATAATTATATGCCTATGTCTGTGACGGTGCAGGTCATAACATATATCAAAATAATCGAGAGACTGTTCCCTTATAAAAGACATTATTCAAGTCATTATGCAGCATGAGACAAAAAAACACATCGGTCTATTAGAACAGTACCCGAAATGTACAGAACTTATGTTCCCAGCCAATAGTAATAAAATGAAAATGGATTTTTTATTTATGCAGAAGTCTTGTACAGAAAAAAGAAAAATTTGCATACAATTGATTGAGATGGATTTAAATGATCTAATTAGCTTCAGTTGATTTTTTTATTTTTAATCGATTTCTGATGAAATTGTGCCATCTCAATTTAAAACAATTTATGTATCAGTTCAAATTTACTTTAGTTGCCAGTGTTTAGCTTGGTGGCAACTTCATTCTTTCTAAACAGGAGCAGTCCAAAAAAATCATAAAAAATTAGGATTTTCCATTTGGATTAGAGTCCTGAGCGTCATTGATCAATAAAATTAAATATCATTTTTTCGAGGGCTGCGTTCATTTTGATTCCATTCATTGGTCATTAAATGAAAACAATCGATGGTCAGGCAATAATCAAATAATCGATAGTGATGATATTCTCACTGTTAGTAAATGTGAATTACTAATGAAATTTAAAATTATTCGATTTGAAAATGAAAACAAACTTAAAATATGTATTCAAATCACAATCGATCAGACAGATGCGGTCGAATTACCACTTGATTTTTGGCAAGAAAATGATATTGAAAATCAATGCGAAGTTATTACGAACATGTTCATCATGGAGTTTACGAATTTTTATAATATGCTTATAGAATAAAATATCTGTCAGCTAATGCGAGATTAAATTGGAGAGTTGAGAATGGGCAGATTTGTTATTACAGTTAATATCTGAAATAAATATCTCTGAACATAATTGTTTCGGAAGAGAAAGAGACACAAAACTGACATGAAGAGATGTTTTTTCGGGCAGTTTTATAACTATTTAAATGTGAATCTTTTGAAAGAATGGGAAGCCATGACACTAACCGGATATCCTCAATTATGTGTTTATTGTGCAGCTTCTATAATATACCAGGAAAGTATAGTTTCTAATTAATCATACTACTCTTGCGATGGTGATGATTTGCCGTTGTTTAGGTTTATATATCTTATTCAAAACCAAAATTCTCATTCGAGACACATCTTTGTTTAGTATATGATAAATAAAATAATCAAATATCTCAGAAGTCTCTTCGCGTCATTTAGCACTGATTCATACATTATTGAAATTACCTTCTCCAACAACCCTAGCAGTCAAAATTAAGCGACAAACGCGTTGTAAAGAACGTTATTTTGTTTTCTTTTAACGCATTTGTTCTTTCAACAAATGTCCGGATTTTTGCGTTTTAACAGTTGAATTACTCTTGACTTTGAACTCATTATACTGAGTGGAAACACAAGCATTTAAACGCATTTTCAAAGTGAACGCATTTAAGCGCAAAAAAAATCGAATACTTTTCATATGTTTAAACATGTTGAAAATTTACGTTTTCATGGGTTAATGAATGAGTATTTGAGTGCTATAAAACACAGAAAATTTTTTCAATATTGAACACTAGTTATTTTTTATTAGGAGACTTCTATATGTACTCTGACAGTTATCAGAAAGAAAAACAACAAGAGAAAAAAAGTATTGTTAGATATGTATATATCTCTAAATACAGTTTACATTTTTTAACAGAATTTGCATATGTTATTTTCATTTCCTGTATATGTACTTTGTTTAAGAAGTTGACTGTACTTAGAGATATATGTATATGTAACAATCCTTTTTCTCTTGTTTTTTTTCTGATAACTGTGAGAGTAAACATAGAAATCGCCTAATAAAAAATTACTAGTATTCAATATTGAAAAACATTTGAATGTATTTTATACAACTCATATACTCAATTATTCATCGATTACCTTCTACTGCTGCTCCTAGTGGATTTATTTTTTAATGAATTTCATGTGCTACTAATTTGTCGACTTATAATAGCAAATGGAAAGAGGGTCTAAAATACAAATAGTCGTAATTGCGTAACTAGGGGCAACGAACGTTAAACTTTAATTGCTTAAAATTATTTCATTTAGTTATATTGCTAACACCTTACACGACGAACATGACGATGAAAAAACTATGTATATCCTAAAAATGATAGATAAAGTTTACAAACGATAAAAAGATGTTATTCTGTTCACTTTTTAAAAAATTTATTCCTAAATCACTTATAAAAAATTTTGTAAGCATGCATTAAAAGATTGCGATCATTCATTCATGTAAGCTTCTCATCTATATCTTATGAAGACTATTCTATAACTACTCAGTAATTTTATTTAATCTGCTCATTGGTCTAAAAAATTCTATATTTAATTCACACAAAAAATTCTATATGCATGCAGCAAGAGTTTTATAATCTCTTGATCTATACAAACGCTTGTGACTTAAGTGCGTGTCACGAAAACTCTATTAAGACGCAGTGAAAAGTATTTTCATTGTGTTCAATACTTTAAACTTCATTCCTAGATAAAACATAAAAATTCTATTGTCATGCAGTAAAAGAAATTTTTATTCTAACCATTCATACAGAAATTTCCATTTTTAATTCACTTAAAAATATTCTAATGTAAACTAACCTTGTCAAAAATGTTCTAATCAGGTGCTCATTACGACTACTATACAAATAGATATGATACAAGTGTTTCCAACTTACTTAGGGCGTACCAAAAGTTCGTGGCCCGATGTTTAAAATTTTAGAAAACAGTAAATATTGGATATTTTGTTATGGAAATATATAGTATCACGTCTCGTCTTTAATAATCTATAGAGCTGCTCTATCTTGGATTTAGTTCTGACATTCTGCGAGACTAAGTTCATAATTTAGCGACTATGTTAATATTCAACTATTTCTTGTCCAATGTTCAGGTATATTCTGGAACTATTCATAGTTCCCATTGGTCACTTTCTCCCGTTACGCTTAATGACGTCATGATCTAGAACAATATCTTTCGATAGTATATATAAATGAGAGGCTATTCACTGTCAGCTTATTTGTACCGCACCCGACTTTAGATCGTGATAACATTTGGTTTCAATTGCAAAACAAGTTATCAAACATGACTGATGAATTTAATCGATACTATATCAAAATTCGAGTTATTTTGGGAATAAATTCAAAAACAATCTTCGAGGAACTTACAGAAGCATTGGGGCCTGATGCTCTATCATACTCAATGGTTAAAAATTGGGCAAAACGTTTTCGCGAAGGAAGAGAAGATGTCAGTGATGATCCTCGATCTGGTCGTCCGATTTCAGTTCTTACAGTTGAAAATATTGAATGTGTTCGACAAGTTATCGAAGATGATCCCCACTCAACTTATGAAGATATTATTGTTAAGACTGATCTATCGCGTGGTACAATAGAACGAATTATCCATGATCATCTAAAGATGAGAAAGGTTGTATCACGTTGGGTTGCTCATCAACTTACTGACGAACAAAAACAAGGAAGAGTTCGAATTTGCCGTCAAAATTTAGAGAAATTTAAGAACGGAACATGGCGATTATGTGATATTATCACTGGTGATGAGACGTGGATTTATCGCAGACAGATTGGTCGGAAGTCAAGCAATTCTACCTGGGTTGGTGAAAATGAACCACCAAGGACTATTGTTCGTTGGAATAGATATGAACCTAAAACATTATTTTGCTTCTTCTTTAAATCCACTGGTCCTGTTCTTATACACAAAGTAGATGAAGGCAAGACCATCGATCATAACTACTATATCGATAACTGTCTTATACCTGTTATCAATGAAATAAGAAAAAAGGAAAAGTCATCACGCACAAAATATAAAATGCTTCACGATAATGGTCCTCCTCATGCTCATCGAGATGTTGTTGAGTATTTAACAGAGGAAGGTATCGAAATCATTCCACATCCACCATATTCGCCAGATCTTGCACTGTGTGACTTTTGGCTAAATGATTATATCAAGAACAAGTTGGTTGATCACACAAATGAAGAATCGCTAGCTCAGGAGGTTTCCACTATAGTGAAGAATATTTAAATAAACGAGTTTAAAAAGACTTTCGATAAACTGTTAGAGAGGATGGAACTTTGTATCGAAAATAATGGTGATTATTTTGAGCATTTAATAAAATAAAACTACGAATATCTCTTACTTTTCGTATTGTGGTTTTATATTTTCAGGATCTTTTCTTGGCTATAAGTACTATATCTTTATTCTAGCAGGATGTTAGAACTTAATCAAAGACGGAGCTTCTCTATAGATTATTAAAGACGAGACGTTATAATCTGTATTCCCATAATAAAATATTCAATATTTACTGCTTTATAAAATTTTAAATGTCGGGCCACGAACTTTTGGTATACCCTAAGTATAAGTTGAAAAAAGTTTTTAACAGTAATAAAAGCTGTACAATAATGAAATAACAAGCATAACTGAGTGCATCAAATAATATTAAACGAATATATTCAATTATTGATGTTGTGTTAGATTAAGTGTAAACACAATGGATATTTATTTTGGTTATTTCTTCAATTGTGTGGATTATACTTTGTTGACCCTTATGACCAGTTATGTAATCGACGGATGATGCTACTTATAAGTATAATTCATTATACTTATCAACTGTTAGCGTCATCGCCCTTCAAATACTCCAAACAATATCGTTACGATGTTCAACTTTCCTGACTTAAAATAGTGCAAGATTTTTTTCAACATTCCCACTTTCGATATTTGAATCTTTCGACATTTTAACTTTCAATACTTCTATTTTCGACATTTATTTTCGATTTTTTTTTACCTTTCGATATTTTATTTTATGACATGTGAAATTTCGACATTTTTATCTTCCACTTTTTCACCTTCGACGTTATTCCACTGGATCGTCCTATGATCAACGTAAAAGTGCGAGAATAGAGCAAGTTAGGACTTAACAAAATAATCAATATCAGTGTGTGAGTTGACCGAGATATATAATAATGAATTAAAACCTGTTGCTGTATATTTGATGGCTGTGTACAATAGCCGTACTTGCCATTTAATCCAATGCTGAGAACAATAATATTAATAATGTTCACTCAAGAAAAACGAAAATAACTAGCGAATAGCAACAATAGAAACAAAAAATAAAACGCACGAAAAAAAAATTGTTTCTGGTGCACAAATAAATAAGACAAATCTTTACTTTGCTGATTGATTATCTTGAAGCAGAACTATAGTCTATGAGAGATTTTTCACTTCACCTATTTTATATTAGTTTACCGATGCTAAAGAACATACGTTAATTCCACATGCTGCGATAACAAGCGTTTTCTTTTGCTATTTGGGAACAAAAAAAAAATTTAAGGACTGACCTCGACGTGACTTGAACACGCAACCTTCTGATCTGGAGTCAGACGCGCTACCGTTGCGCCACGAAGTCTACACCATAAAATAGTTTTATTGTGTCTTTTTTTATTATTATCAAAAAATAGTCTAGCACAAAAAAATAAAGATTGACCCCGACGTGACTTGAACACGCAACCTTCTGATCTGGAGTCAGACGCGCTACCGTTGCGCCACGGAGTCGACATTAGAAGAAGAGCAGAAAAAAATCTCATTCCTCCCGTCGACACTTAGAACGCATGGTAACAAATATATAGAGTAGTATTTGTTCTCACGCGTCATAATTCATTGCAAACATACAGAAAATAATTTCATGTAACCAATTACACACTTTTAAGATTACCTATTTACTTTAAATGTTTAAATCAACATATAGTAAGACACTCGAACAAAAGTTAAGAAAAAAAAACAATTGATAATTCAAACAAACTTGACAAGGAAAATCTAAAAAACATTGACTTCTTTTTTCAACTGTTCTATTTTTTTATTGTAGTTTCTGTGGTAAATAGAAAAAAAGAAAAGAAAATATTGATGGTTTATATTTTCACCATGGATCAATCGATTTGTACATAAGTATGTCATGAAAAATACTAAGCAACCTAGCTCTTAAATTATAAATCCATGAAATAGGTGTATATGTTACTTATATTTTTAATTTGTTTTATTTACACTGCGATATAAAAAACAAAACTAGGAGGAGAAGGTGGGACGTTTATCGTCGTATGTAAAATTTCCCACTATGGTTTCGGAAATGAGCATATGAGAATCTAGACATCTCCACTGATCAATAATTATTTGCTCATTATGTTGTCATCATCTGATCATCATCAATCTATGATATTAATTGAAAAATAAAAGACCCAGTAAATAACAATAATACAAGAAAAAAAATGATCGGATGAGTTTATCTCACCATTGATTTTTGTCAACATATAAGTATCGAATCTTTAGTGATTAACTGGTAAATTATTTCATTACAGTAATAACACATGAGTCATAATAAATTAAAGTAGATATTAACACAATATTCCTCTCATTTAAATTTATACAAAATGTTTATTCATTTACCAACACAATAAAGAATTGTAACCTTTGCAAGACTAAAAACTTCACTTCTTCGTCAATGGTTCTGGTGCCCAGATTTTTCTAGTTTAGGTCGTAAGTGGAAGTGCTTTTTTTTCGTTAATCATATTGTTTCTCGTTCAATCTAGTATAACTTACCGAGGTTGTTAAAATTCTCCTGATTTATAAATATGTCACAACAAGTTCTGACTTTCTTTATTTATTGAGATAGTATTAATTAAGCAGTTTCGCATACGATCTAATATTTGAAATTTTTCTGGTCGTCAGAACGCTTAGATAATCAAACATATCAACAAATCTAATCCAACGAGATCAAATAATACAAAAGAAACAATCGGAATTATCGACTTGACAATATTAGTATTTACGATGAACCGAGTTGAAAATAATATAAAAAATTTGATTGGTTAACAATTTCTATATGAAGTAATAGCTCATTTCCTTCGATAATTTTTTTGTTATTAATAACCTCATTAAAAATAGTCTAATTTAAAAACAAAGATCATATGGTTTTCATCACAAATAGATGTCATTATGTTTTTTATTTTTCATTGCCAAGACAACGGTGTAAACGATGAGTATGATGTCAACCAATAACGACATTCTTGAGGTTATGATTTGAAATGAAAAAAAAAGGACTGTAGCTTTTAATGAAATGAAAATCAACTTATGACAATTTATTAGTAATCTTATTTATTTCCTACGTCAAATATGGCATCAGTCACTACTGGTATGTGCAAACATGAATTTTTCTTTATTAATTATTTTCAATTTTTTTTATATTTAAAAATTTAGCTAAGACATTCACGGCTGCCGATAAACTCCGTGATCTTCTTTCACAATTAGACCATCATGGTTCTCCTTCATCACCTACACATCATTCAAGTTCATCTAAAGTATAAACAAATCATTAACACTCTCTTATCTATTTATCTATTGTTTCATTAGGCATCTAAAGATACGCCAAAATCAAATGAACTTTATTTACTTGTTCAAGCAGCTGATGAGATAAGTCAACGATTGCGAGAAGAGAATGAAGCATTACGTGTAAGTTTTTAAGAATGAAACATGTACACTTTTGTGTATGTAGTGAATAAAATAATATTGAAAAAGATTGTTTTTTTTGTTTCTATTTTATTTTAACTTAGGATGATAGTACCAAACTTCGATCAAATGTTGTGGTTTTAATTGAAGAAAATAATCGATTACATGAAGAAATTCGTAGTACATTTGTCTCGGATATGCTTCGTTTAATTAACATTGATGATGGACAATCAATGACAGATAAAGAAGTATAGCTATTTAAAGGAAAAAAAACAAATCTTATTCTTTTTTTGTATATTCAAGTCACAAATTGCTGATCTTTATACGAAAAAAATGCGTCATCTTGAAATTGAATTGAAAGACGCTAAGTATATATATATCATTATTTAAAATAATGGTATAAATTATTAATGTATTCAATTATAGAGAAAAATTAAGTATGTATGAAACAGTTTGGCAAGCACCAAATGATCTTATGAATTGTCTTAAATGTGGTGCTCTACTTCCATTTGGTCAACATTCCAGTGAACATAATGAAAAATTTGCTAATGTTATAACGTAAGTTATTTTGAATTGCAAAATAAATGTTACTCTCTAATATGGGATCCGACATTGTACGAACATTAATTCAGATCATTCTCCGATTGATCAGTTACAATAACGTTCAATCTAAGATTCGACTAGATCAATTTCGAATTAGAGACTAACAAGGTAATCTCTTCAGATGTTATCTTCCAATTTCAATGATATTATTGCCTATAGATAGTACATAGTATTCTAATAAAAACTCTAACAGGATTTGGATTGGTCTAAACTATTGATCTTTTTCCTAGGAGTCAAAATTTTCGAAAAATTTGTATTTTCGAATTTTCACCTAAAACTTTACGCATATAGGGAATCGAACTAGAATGGCTTCCGAAAAAAAATTCAGAACGTTTGAACAAAGTCTCTTCAAGATATAGAACTTTCAAAAACTGCATGTTTTATACATTGTTGATGGAAAAGGATCTATATCTTGAAAGTCTTATATTTCGAAGAGACTCTGTTCAAAACTTCTGAACCTCTTTTTTTATAGAAGTTAGTCCAGTTGAGTTCTCTATATGCACAAAGTTTCAGATCAAAATTTGAAATTACCAGTTTTCCAAAAGCCTCGGGCCTCTAGAAAAAAGTCGATAGTTGAGTTGAGCCTGAATAGGAACTCAAATTTTGTTAGGGTTTGTAGTGGAATACAATGCAGTATTCACAATCAAAAAAACCATTGAAATCGGAAAGAGACATCTAAGAATCTTCCCTCATTAGTATATTGCATTCTATGTAGAGGCGTTAGTTCAATCCAAAAAATGAATTAAATAAAAACTAGAATAAAAAAAAATGTGGATGAAACTAAATGTTCATCTATGCTAAAATAAACATCGAAGTACAAAACATTAGTTTGTATCTGGTATCTAGTCACCAACATCCTTACAGATCTTCGTTGTATGCATGATCATATGTCGTTTTTCTGTCCCAATCACATTTCCTGACTCTGTAAAATAGTGCTGATATATTCAAAAACATTTCAATAAATCTAACGTTTTCTGTATAAAATAATATTTTGATGATTCATCTCTTTGTTGTAATTCATTATTTTATCCAAGGACTTATCATAATACTATCTTCATGAAAATAATTTAAGAGTATCACTAAAACTAGAACAATACATTATAATAAGATTTCAATCACTCTGCAATCCAGACCGAAAAAAAAGTGATCTGTTGAGAGCTTCTATGTGAAAGTACAATGAAAAGAAAAAGTACACTTACACATTTCGTTCATGTTTTCTCTTATGCTATTTGCTTATTCAATCGGACGATCACCTGAACTAATGTTCGTACCATGTTGGATTCTAGATTCGATGCGTCCAAAGCAAGATCCTAGACTGATCTAAGATTGAATGCTAAATATAAATAAATGAAATGAATTTATTTCTAGAGAAAATGAAACTAATAAACGAAAATTACAACAAATGCAAGTTAAACTTGATGAAAGTCAAACTAAAGAACAAGATGCATTAGCAAAATTACAAGATTGTATTCAAATTGTTGAACAAAGCCAATTTGAAAAAAATGAAGTATTGATTTTGTTTTTTGATTATTTGTAAAAGATTTCTATTAAATAATTTGTTTCTTATATAGGCTATTGTTGAACGTGATCAAATTAGAATTGAACTTGTTGAAACACAAAAGCGTTTAAAAAAATTAATTGATGAAATGAATGAAAAAATTAATGTTGAAAAACAAAAAGCTGAACAAACATGTGAAGAAAGATTAAAAGAAAATGCTGAAAAGGTAAATTAAAACGAAACGAACTTTTTTTTTGAAGTTTTTTTTTACTTTAGATACGACAAGTTGAAGAAAAATGTTCACAATATGAATTAACAATGGATCGATTAGCTAGAGAAAAAACTTCTTTAGCAGCTGATTTAGATGAATGGAAAAATCGAATACAAAGACAAGAAATTGATTTAAGTCAAGTAAGAATTTCACAAAATGAGCATTAAAGTGCTCTCGAATAAAATCAATATTTTGTAAGATTTCATTTCATCTTTGAAATAATGCAGCGTTCGATTCTTTAGAAACTTTTATGTAAAATAATAGAATGTAAACTTTTTATTAGCTGTGTTCTGTGATTTAGTAAATGCAACTGACTTATCTAATTTGTTTTCTTGTTTTTACAATGTTCTTTCGAAGTTATGAGCAGCCATGCACAAAACTTTGTACTGATGATTTGGGTCTCTACAAAATCCTCTCTCAACAGTGTTTTGTATGTTTTTGATTATAACCTATATTTATATGACGATGATAGTTTATCTGAATGTTTACACTAAATTCGAATCCTTCTATTAAGAGACAAGACAATGAACTACAGCAGGTGGTAGCCAACAAGAACATTTCTAGGTTGAACGTTGTAAAACGAGTACTTGATCAAAGAAATTTCACTATTCTCGCGAAAGTGCAGTTGAAATACTTCGTAAGAAATACACAATCGATAGAGCCTTTCAAATGTTGATTGTTTGTTTTTGAAAACTAAATATTCGTTTCCAGAAAAAAGAATAGACAACTGGAGAACAGATGAGAAATCACAGAACGCAGTTAATAAAAAGTTTCTATCTGATTGCTCTAAATGAAGATCCATGGAATTTTATAGAGAATCAAATTCTACATTTTCTGATAATAAATTTTAGGTGATGTATCATTTCTTCGTGTCGGATATTTACGAACGAAATAATGTTACAAAACTTTGGTATAGCATATAGTTTTGTCTCAACATGCTTAGTTTTTCTTCATACATTTTATCTGAAGAAAGATTGTTTTTTTTTAAGGCTTCGGATTCTGTTAAACTTCAAGTACAAAAAGCAATGCGTGAACGTGATCAAGCTAATTCAAATACAATGCAAATTCGAACAGATTTTGAAAAGTTATTATTACAAAGTAATCAAGTAAGAGATACTTTTAGATATGAATAGAACCAGTAGTTTTTAGTTTCGGTCTTAGTTAGAAAAAATATTTGGTCTCTATTCCAGTCTAAAAAATTATTCGTTTCGATCTCGGTCAGAACAGTTAGTCCGGGTTTCGATCAGAAGAAAAACTGATCTCGGTCCTCGCGCCAGTTCCACCAGAATCATCTTGCTCATATCTAGATATTCGTTTTAAAAAGGAAAAAAAAAAAGAAAATCTTATTTTATATATTAGGATATACTTCAACTTCGCCATCAACTTGGTTCCACTCAAAATCGTTTCAATGATATTGAAGGTGACTTATTAAATTCAAAAAAACATTGTCTCGAACTAACAGAAGAAATTAATCGTTTAACTCGAGAAGTATTTGTTTTTTTTTGTTTTGTTCTAGCAAAAATTAATTGTTTTTTTAATTTTATTTTAGAACTTAATGTTAAAAAGTATCAAACAAACTCTTGAACGATCACGTGAAGAAAATATCGATGCTATAACTGTTATATTAAATAAACGTGAACAAGATTATCGTACAACAATTGAAAATCTTGAATTAGAACGTCATCAATCATTATCCTATCTTGAAGATCTTGTTTGTAATCAAAATACAATATTAAATAAATTACGTTTATATTCTCGACAATTAACAAATGAAATTGAAACAATACTTGAACAAAAAAATGAGATTGTGCAAGAAATGACTGTTGAAAATCAAGAATTACGTATGAAATTATCTAATGCTTATGAACGTCTTGAACAAACTGATACACAATTATTACAACATAATGATACACATATCAAATTAAAACAACGTGTTATAGAATTAAATAATAAAATAAAAGAATATGAAAATATTGTATGTAAACTAATACATCCTTTTATTAATTTGAATAATTTCTTGTCATCATTTTAGATTAATCAAATCAAAACAAAAGATTTAATCGATTATCAACAAAGACTTACTCTAATGTCACAGCGTAGTTAAATATGCATTTTTTATTGTTTAGCGAAATATGTATTATATTTAACATTTAATAGAAATATAGAATACAGATAGTAATAATAAGCAAAACAAAAAGAAAACAATAAAATGAATAATTTATTTAATAAGTATCAACGATTTATATCATATAATAAAGAACATAAAAACTTAAGTAGGAGCATTTCCTGTTGCTTGTGAAGGTGCTGATTGAGATGCTTCATTGAGATTAATAGTAAAAGCAACAGGTGTTTGAGCACGATTTCTTGCTCGAACATTATAAAGTTCTTGAACAATAACTGGATCACGAGGTCGTTGAGCACCGGATTGTGGTAGATTAGGTAAACTCGGTTCTTCTAATACAAATGTTCCACGTCGCTGTCGATCGCCGAGTGGTGATGGTTCTTGTTCTTGAATAGGTGCTGTAGTAGGAACTCGATCTCTTGCTCTACCACCACCACCACCACCACTACCCCTACCACCAAAAATTGGTCGATCATCACCTTCGAGTGATCGAGCTGCAGTTGTACTTGTAATATGATTTCGTCGTGGTGATGGTGGTGCTGGTGCTGGTGCTGGAGGTCGTTGAGGTGGTCGAGTATTTGTAGCCAGAAATGGATTTGGTCCAAAAATTGATGACGTACGACGTGCTGATTGTGGATCCCATGATGCTGTATAAGATGATGTTGAAGATCGAGCAGGCATTGTAAAATTAAGATCAACAAATGGATTATCAACACTTCCAGAAAAATGATTTTGTGGTGGATGATATGCAAATGTTTGAGATGGTAAAGGTGGTCGTGATGCTGTTGAACCACGTGAATAATATAAATTTTCTAAATGCCGTACTATAGAGGAAAATATAAAAAAGTCATTATATTTTCTTTTGCTTGTGAAAAAGAGTAAAGTCTCTACAACACGGCTATGTAAAAATATGTTTGGTTAGAAAAAAATGTCCTGCATTGGGCGTTCAACATTGTACGTATGTTATGTTTGAATGTAACAAATGCAACACTTGCTTTTTAGTGGTATCAAAATATTTGGGTTACAAAGCCATAAGTTCTATAGAAAAGTATTTTATAAAAAGTCGATTTTCCCTATGCAACATCTAAATAGAACCTTGCATCGAACTCGGAGTGATCGTGAAAATTTTTTTCCGTGATGATAATTTGCATAAAGAATTCAAATATTGGCTAGAAAATCCAAGGTCTAATTTTTCACTGTACAAAATCCGAAGAAAAAGTTTCTTTCGCTATTTGCTAAGGAAAAACTGAGTATACAGAACTTTTGCAGTTCTCCTAAAATGTAGGTAATTCAGTCAAAAAATGTTGTGGACTGCTCGTAGATATGTTATTTTGTAGAGACCAAATTCCTCTGTCGCTCTGTGTAATCCCAAGAAGCTTTTATTTTCCGGTTGTGGTGCTGAAAAACTAGATTTCGCTTTTTCTAGTGATCCTAAATTTTGGGAATACTGTGAAAATTTTATTTCCTTCAAAATCCATGTTGTCAACAATTTTATCTACTCAAGTCGCTATTTGAATTCTTTATGTGAATTACTATTACAGAAAAAAAATCGAAATCTATACAGTCAATTTTTGAAGTGACTGTGTATGCCTGTGAAAAACTTTTTCGAGGTTGAAGTAAAAAAAACTTGACTTCGTACAGTACAATTGTCGTCATAATGTCTAGTAGAAAAACTGAATTCTATTTTCTATAATGTGCTTTTATAGAGCACTCAATAAACATTAATTGAACTTGAAATATAGGATTTCACTAATTTCAATTACTGGAAAAAATCTTACTTTTAAGAATCATTTTGTAGTTATGAACACTTTGCTAGCAAAGATCGTTCGAAAAATGTCAGTTTCAAACTCAATCGAAACTTCAGAATTTACTTTTACCTGTTGACAACACCCAAATATAGCACGGCAAAACCTAATAAAAGGCGGATGTAGTTAGTGGGTGAAGGTTTTCTTCTGTATACCAGTAGCATGCACAGAACATTTCAGTTGTCGACAAGGATTTTGAATGAAATATCATTACACAGCTTTCTGATAGAGGCTTTACTCTTTCTGATCTGCCTGTTGAGTAAGTCATCAAAGTTCTACAAGAGCCTGTGGTGTTTGGACAGATGCAGAAGGTGACTCTGGACTGCCGTTAGCCGTCTGTCTTACATCCATGCTTCTCACCTATCTGTTGGACTACATATCTCTCTGACCACTGAAAAGATAGGTTTCATCCTATATCGAAAATTAGTATGTATTACTACTACTAGTACTCTTTCTCACGAGACAACTATCGAATCTCCACAATGCGAGTTGTTGTTATGCTATACTGAAAACAAAATAAATGCAGAACTTTTGCACTATCCATGGTAGATTTACTTTGATCAATTTGTGATTGTTCTCGAATATACATTGGATTTGGTGCTGTTGGTACATAATTTGTAGCTGAATGAGAATATCCAGGTGATTGAAATCTTGTTTGTTGTATAGGAACAACTTGAGTTGTTGAAGTTTGTGATTGTTGTTCGTTTGAAATATCAATTAAACGACCAAAATTTTGAACAGTTGATGATATAGCGGCTTGATTTTCAAATGCAAATCGTAACTGGACAAGATTGGTGATTATAGATAGATATATTTCAAATCTTTATATATTCCTTAACCCTTTACCTGCTCACCTTCTGGACATCAGTTGGCATTTGAGCATGTAATGTTTCAATTTGTTGTGAATAACGACTACATTGTGATCGCATATTTGCTAAATCAACATCATTAATTGCTTGCCCACTTTAGAAATTAATAATTAACAAATAAGATTAAATAAGAACCAAAAACGAAAAATTTTTACTTTGCAAGTGATGTTTCAACTGATTCACAAAAACTTGCTACACTTGCTAATTCGACTTCTGCAGTTTCTTGTTGTAAACGAAACATTCTAAAAATACAAAAAAAACAAATAAATCAATTTAATTTATGATTTCTTTGTTTTGTGTTAAACCTTAATTGCGATTGCATATAAACTTCAGCTTCAGTAAATAATGCTGTTTCACGATGTTTTAACTCTTGTATTAATATTGCTATAGCTGATGTTATTTCGCGTTGAATTTGTTCATGATTTGTTTTAACAGTATTGACTCTTTGTTCATATGAAGCTATTTTATCACTTAATTTTGGTAATGTACGACGAATTTGACTAACCAGTGATCTTATATTATAAGAACCCTCACGTAAATGTGCCTCACGACAATCAGAACATACATATTTTGAGCAATCATGACATTTTGTAAGAGCTAAATATGTTAGTAGATATTTATGAATGAACTAAAAGTTTTGAGACAAAATATTTGCTTAGTTTTGACTCCTTTGAAAGTCTTTTTGAAGAGTCAAAAGCTACGAGTTAGGACCAGTTTTGGCCTACTTATTTTTTTTCACAGAAAGGAACATAAAGATGATCAGAGTTTGTTGCGGTTAAGTTGGTAAATCTAATCCTATAGAAATCTTGCAGCGAAGTGTTAAATTGGAAGTACTTATGTTCTTTACAAACTTGTCCATCATCATAACATTTCTTCGTGTTGTGAGCTAAGAGAACAAATGATTCTCATGAGATGGAGTCATAAGTCAATGAGCTCATTCATAGTGTGATCAATAGAGCATAACTCGAGCTTCATTTTGGTAATAACACATTAAGCATATGACCTTTTGTTGAGGCAAGAACGTATGAGCAGTTCAAATCGATGAATTTACACCAGCTAATCGATCTTGTAAGTCTTCTATCTCAGAAAATAATAATGAACATATTGCCAAAATTTCGGTGAGAGTAGAGTACATGACGAACTTTAAGAATATGTATAATTTGTTCGGATAGGTAAAAGCGGTCACTTTTCAACTGTTATGTATCAGATTTGTTATTTTTCTAGTGAAAACAAATAACATGTTTGGAATCAGCATCAACAGCCGAATTGACCTATATATTTATTTCAAATTATTCGAACAACTATTATTTTCATCAGAAAAAAATTATCTGTTGTCCCCCTTAGAATTCAGTCAAATAATGAAGTTAATCATAATGTCACTGCTACTGCGTAGTCATCTACCTTTTTGCGTTCTGCTATCATTTTACAAGATCAGAAGTTGTTCTTAGCTGTACAAATGAGATTTTGATCGACTTCATGTTTTTGGTTGAATCCTGAGAGGAACCAAGAGTGAATTTTTCAACGAAAATAATAGCTGTTCGAGCAATTAGAAACAAATATATAGATCAACACTGCTCCTGATAATAATTCTAAACATTTTATTTGTTTTGACTAAAAAAGTAAATAATCTGATAAGAATCGACAAAATATCAGTCAAAAAATTGCAACTTTTATCTATCTAATGTACTCTATTTGCACTGAAATGTTGGCGATATATTCATTATTATTTTCTGAGATATAAGATCCACAAGATCAACTAATGATTGTAAAGCCATAGATTTAGACTGCTCAAATGTTCTTATTTGCCCATTCTCGACTTAACGAAAGATTATATGTTTAATGTTTTGGTACCAAAATGCAGCACAAGTCATGCTCTATTGATCATACTATGAATGAACTCATTGGTGTGTGACTCAATCTTATAAGAAGCATCTGTCCTCTTAGCTCACAACAAGAAAGAAAATTTATGATGATTGATAAGTTTCTAATAGACATCAGTACTCCTGATTTAAGATTTCGCTGCAACCTTTATACATGGTTAGATTCCCCGGCTTAAGCGCTATAAATTCTGATCATTTTTATGTTTTCTTTGGAGAAATAATTAAGTGGACCAAAACTAATCCGTATGTGTCCTCATTCATTTACCTTAGTTTTCGTTCGAAAGTAGTGTAGGAAGTTTTTTAAGAGTCCTATGAGTACATTGCTGAAGTTGTCAAAAAAAATATTGGAGCCCGTTGTTTTCTCGAGTGAATACTTCTTAACATAAACTTAATATTGAACTCAGTTGTGACTTTTCCATAAGCGAAATTATCAGCAAACTCTCAAGAGCTCTTTTCTATACAAAAACGTCTTTTGATAAAAAAAACGATTTTTCACAAATGAGAAATTATAATTGAAGTGACTTGTACGAAAACTCCAATAGTATATTTTGTAAGGTAGCTTCTGTTCTACAAGCGAGTATACTAATAAAGGTGCCAACATTTACTTTTGAATTACAATAATGAAAGTACAAACGTGTACGAAGAAAGTTTGCATTTAAACTATTTTTTTAGACTTTTCAAAATATTATTTCATTCATCTCAAGCAAAATTTCTAGGTCTAATTCGGAAACACTTTCAAGATATTAAAAAATAAACAAATATTTTGCCTCAAAACTTTCGCTTCGTTCATTATTCAGTATTGTATACCTTGTTTTTGCTCATTGCATATAAAACAACTACCAGGTTGACTAGAATTTGCTGGTTGAAGATCAAGAAATCCAATCATAGTTAAATTAGCAGGAAATGTTTGAACACCACCTAAAAACAAATTTATCATTTCAATAACGAAAAAAAAAAACATTTTTTTCCATTAAACCTGGTGGTATATGATGTTCCCGACGACATTCCGGACAACGTAATGAACGTGCTCGTGGATCGACAAGATTTGTTAAACATGGTGTTAAACAAAATGTATGCATACATGGTAAAAGTTTTGGTGTACGAAATTTATCCAAACAAACAGGACACGTTGTAAGACGTTCCATTTGTGTTGAATTACTTTCATTAGTAGTAGCCATTATCAATTTAATTTTTAGTTTATTTTGATGATTCAACCATTTTTCATCAATTAAATATAAATAATATGTGCCATTTTTTGTTCTATGCAGTAGCACTGACAATAGCCTTTATAAGTGTTTAAACAAGATGTCGCAATCTATCGACTTTCGATTCTTTTCCATATTGAGATGACATTCTATATACTAATTAGTCTAATTAACAGAGCATATTAAAGAGCGTGAGTGCCATTTTGTCGTTGATGCGTAAAAGTACTGGCTCTTCTATTAATTAAACTTTGATGAATGCATTGGAACCGACAAATTCTTGTCCATAAAAAATATAACGATGTTAAAATAAACTCTTAATGATTCAAAATCTACCTTGATCTTCCTGGTACACAGTTAATGAATATTCGATCAATTATTTCAATCAGTCATGCGTCTCAATTTAATTTGATAAACTACATATATATTTTGTTTTATTCCTGGATGACTAGTATTATCAATACACGGTTTCTATTCTCGTCGCATGTCTCTAATCAGCGTTGTCATCGTGTGCAACAAATCGAGTTTGATAGTTGGCCGTTAGCTGCTTAATCATGCATATACATATAGATGGCTGTTGCTTTAATGTGAATACTAGTAGAAAGGGACAAAAGGAAGAACGACGACAACGTTGAAAGAAGCATTTTCGATTACTACAGTTATTGAATCATGATACATTTGTCAAGTAGTCTTGAACGGAAAGTGCGGGCGGTCGGGCTCAGCATGCAATTGTATCAAAGCTCGTAGTTTGATTGCTGTTAAACATTTCTCTGTGCGTGTAACTTTGTCAAGGAAATCTTTCTAAATGAATTGTTAGTTTATTATTATTATTACTTCTTTTATTCTTGTTTTTTTTTTTTTTTTATTTTTTTTTCTTCGTCTCATTATTAAGATTGCTTACACCGGCATTAATTAAATAAACTTCGCTCATAGAACATGTTGACATTGTATTGATTATTTTCCCATGACGTTCAACTGACTACATTTTTGATCATAGTATATTAATTTTAGAATATAATGCGATGCATGCAAGCAAGCATTTTTTTATTTGATTTGTATATGCGTGCAAGGCACTCCCTTTGACGCCCACTCAAATTTCTTCTTTTTTCCTTTCCCTATTGACGATGCGGTACACGTAAAATGATGAGTTAAAAAGTCGGATGTCTTTAAACGATTGACGATCGTGTCTCGTACATCGTTGTCAATCATTATATTTTTCTTTTTCTAGGTTTTCCAAATTTCTTTTTATCGGAATAATTTAATTTATAATTGACTTACTAAAGCGAATTTTATAACAGAGAGAGAGAGAGAGAGAGAGTAACAACGATAGATAGAAGAAGAACATAAAATGCTCAAAATATGAAGGAGAAAGAAGAACAAGAAAAACGAGTTAGACTATTTTATTTATTATTGCTGTTCGTTGCTTGATAGCTTGAGGCAAAGAGGAATGCACACGAGTGAATGAATGAATGAATGAATGAATGAATGAATGAATGAATGAATGACTGAGTGAATGGTGGTGGTGATGGCAGCAGAAACGCAAAGATCTAGCATAGTATAATAGAGAAGAAGAAGAAGCCGAAACCGAAGCCGAACAAGAAGATGATGATGAAGACGAAGAACATCAGGAGAAAAAAAGAAGAAGAAAAAAAAAAAGAACACACACATAAGAAGGAAACAACAGCCGATTTTTGTGTTGTGTTCGCTGGTTTTTGTTTTTGGAGGACACAAAAAAAGAGAATGTAGAAATCTATAGCGCACACTTCGATGACTACTACTCCCACTACTATATGTTGCTATTTTGTTGTTATTTTTATTAACAGGTGACACTTCTATGGAAATGACTATTTACTGATTAATATCTATATTGCTTTTTATGGTGATTTTTTGTAACTTTTAATCATTTTATCTTATTCGTAATCTCTTACTATTTCAAATATAAGCAATCGTTATGTTTATCGTTCTAATGTTATTTGTTTTCCTTTTGCTTATATAAAATTTATCTATCTGTTGATTAAATATCTTTAGAGAGTTCTGCTCCGTGTTATCCATGTCACTAACATCATTTTTTCAACCGTCTGAGATATGTGTTAGAAACATCTGGCTAATAGTTCTGATGTGCGTGTGTGCCTCTGTATGCATGATGATAATAAACCATTTATAATTAATTCCTGACGATGTATGCGTGTATGCATTGAGTATCTTTCGACATAATGACAAGATTCATTTTTCTTTTCTACACATAAGTAATCGATTATAAAGAAGTATGCATAGACATAGTTGTTTCCAGGTAAATATAAAGATTTTCTAACTATAACTTTATGATGAAATGTATGATTGAGAGTGATCAACGAGTACGCTGACATATCAATTTAGACATGACACAGAGAATGAGAATAAGATAAGACATTTGCATTATTAGATCATAAATATATGAGGTAAGAAAAAGATGATATTTTACTATCGACTTCCTGTATTTTATTTTTTATGAAAAGACAAAGTGCATTTTTTTTGTTTCGATACTGGAAATAGAATGGGATGTTTTCTTTTTTTTTGTTGGATGAAGAATAAAAAGGTTAATTCATATACGTAGCATCATAGCTCTCGAACAATTGTAAATGACATCAAGTAGGGAGACCTTGCGGAAATGAGTAGAAGAGTGAAGACTCTCATTGCAATCATCACTACAACTACAGAAAAAAAAAAGAAAATTTAATTGTGTCAACTTGTCAAGTCTTATTCTTCTACATACATATATATATATATATATCTTTAATTTCTTATTTCGATTAATACAGATATACACCAAGCATATGCTATGTCTTGAGTTGCTTCTGTCAGAAACATGAGTCCAATCACATGCACATACACGTATCTATCTATTCTGTTGAGTTATATTTGTTAGATCTATCAATGATGACAGTAACTATTCTGTGAGTATATAAGGGAAGAAAATGGAAAAACAAAATTTGCCCATCGGCATAGAATCCGTCATCAGATGAATGTCAAACTAGTTTTTCCTTGGCCTTCATATAGATATACATATATTGACAATCTAGATATAAGAGAAAGAATTACTGTATTACATCAGGTGCCATTATTTGAATAGGCAAGAAAAGAGAAAAAAAATGGAAAAAAATTTCTTTGCGTTTATATTCTTTCTATTCCTTTGAGTAATTACATTTACTTGTAATAGTTCTCGAAGAAGGTTTGTATACAACAATTTTGTTTTTCTTTCAATATGTTTTAGATATAAATCCCTTGGATGAACAGCGACGGGAACGGTCATATTTATTAAGGCAACCGTAAGAATAATATGTGTTACTATTGTCACTATTTAGCAAATGATAAATCAAATAGTTATAATGATGATGAGGATGATGAGGATCAATACGTACGGAAAGATATTAAATATCGTCGTACAGGATCATGTCGTTTAGCTACCATATTACGTCTTATTAGTATAACAATTTTTTTTGTTATGTTCAATATAACAATTGTTCTTTCACAATCATCACAAAATCAGCAAAATCGAGATCAATCATCATCAAAAATTCTTGAACTAAATTCTCGAGGTAATTATTAATTTTTAATGTTTATTTTAAAAAAGAAAATTTTCTTCTTCCTCATTTAATTGAATTCGATATATTTTTCAAAATAATCTTTCGTTGTTTACGATGTTATTTAATTTTTCGTAACATAGACCTAAAAAATTTCTTTATCGTTATATAAAGCACTGAATTACCTAGGTTAAACATATTTATTGATACAATCAGGCTTCTTGTCCTCAATTTAGTAAAACTGTGCAATTTCCGGACGTTTCTTTTGTTTTTTATCGTTTCTTGAGTTTATATTTTATGTTCAGCAGATATAATGCTTGAAAGCAATTTTACTAGAGTGACTATCATCATGTAAATTAAAAAGAACAGAAAAAAACCATTTTAACCTACTGGAAATGATGAATTCCAAATATTCATGGTTGAATATGTTTTGGTACATTTATAGTAAGAATTTCTATTGAAATCTACTAAATTAGATGAAACTATAAATTTTGCTCTATAATATTCAGTGTAAAAAATCAAAATACTTTTTACATTTAGTATTTTACATATGAAAGAGTATTAAAAACAGATTATAATGATTGTTACTGTCAAGGATATGTAAAGCTGATTTAAATTCTTAATACTTGAGCACTAGTAAGATTATGTTCTCAAATAGAAAACTGAATTAGATGCATGATGACAAGTATGAGGATTACACATTGTAAGTATATTAGTTAACTTGGAAATAAAGTTCCTTTCAGAAATAATCTGACAACATAAATCTTATGTTAAGACTATTTACATATGGAAGTGATTCATATTTGAATATCTTGAAAATATTTGTCAAAGACTCTTTCATTTTGATAAGATTCATTTATATAATCTTTACATTCATATATAAATATAAGTGGCAATTTAATCTTGTTTTTATCTTTTTTTTTTTTCGAATAAATAGATTTTTTCACTTCAAATAATGTTAATAATCAAGGTCGACAACAAACAAAAACTCGTCAAAATTTTCCTATTAAAACTTCTCAATCACCAACAATTAATTCGACAGTATCAATACCTCCAGCAAAAACAAAACGGTTAACACATGAAAAACGTCTTATACGTGATTTACTTAATAATTATCCAACAATATATGCACGTCCAATACGTAATATATCACAATCATTAACTATACAATTTGGTTTAACATTAACACAATTATTTGATCTTGGTTCAACTGGTCAAAAAATGCAAACAAATACATGGAAAACACTTATTTGGCAAGATATGAATTTAGTTTGGAATCCAAGTGATTATGGTGGTTTAGCAACAGTATGTTTACCTGCTGATTCAATATGGACACCGGTAAAATAATTAATTCAATATTGTTCAAAAAAAAAAAAAAAAATTTTTATTCTTTAGGATATTGTTTTATATAATTATGCTGATGAACGTTTAAAAGATTGGCGTGACATATCTGCTGTTATACAAAATACAGGTGATATTTTATATGTACCAGCAACTATGCAATTTAGTGTTTGTTTTCTTGATATAACTAAATTTCCTTATGATCTTCATCAATGTTCATTATTATATCGTTCATGGACATATGATCATACAAAAGTTATGCTTGCATTTAAAGAAAATATACCAGCTATGGATATGTCATCATATTTAAATTCAAATGAATGGAAAGTTGTTGCACTTCCAGCAGTAAAATCTATTACACCTGATGGATTTTCATTATTAACATATACATTGAATATTCAACGAAAAGGTGGTCTTTATGGTTATATATTAATATTACCATGTTTACTATTATCTGCAGCAACAATGGTTGTTTTTTGGATTCCACCAGAATCACCAGCAAAAATGATTTTAACTGTATCAATTTTTTCTGGTCTCTTTCTTCTATTACTTCTGCTTGCTGAATCTATTCCGGGTATGAAAAATAATTGATTAGAGTCAATATAATAGATCATGCTATTTATAAATTAAATGTCAATGTTGCATGATAGATAATTGAAAATAATGATCTCCAATCATGCTTTATAATTACATTCAAACAATGAGTCTTAAAAATAGATTATGAATATCATCATGAAATATTTTGTTTTTAATTAAAAAAACAATGTTTGATTTACCTAGATTTTTAATACCATAGATTATGATTCTATTTTCTTTTGAAAAAAATGAAACAAAAACTTAAGAGATTTTATCTTAGACTAATTGACAAATTGCGAATGATAAAAGTTTGGATATTAGTAGTTTCTTTTTTTAGTAGAGCTTCGAGGAAAAAAGAAAAAACGTAAGATGCCTCAAGAAAAGAACAAAAAAAAAAGAAGATATGGAGTTGTTATCTTCTTCCATTTATTTTTCTTACATGCCTTTCATTAAATATTTCTCTTAGGATTAAATAATATAAATTAATTATTCTTCTATGAATTTAATAATAAATTTCTATAGTAAATATTATTGATTAAATTTTGCTCTCTATTAATATAAATCGTACAAAGGAAGTCTGCCGACTGATTTAATCGTATTTTAGTCTAGACTATGTGCGTCATGCAGACTTCAATGAACTATGAATGTTCAGAAAACATTGTGGACACTTTATTGTTGTGGACATAGTACACTTTTATGATATTTTATTAATTCAATATCGTGGTCGATCTCAGGAATATGACGAAAATTAATTTTAGAAATTTTGACTTGGAATTTTGCATAAAGACAAATTTTAATAAGAATAGTTTATTGCAAAAGTTTCAAGTCTTTCCAATTTACTTCTATCCTGAAATATAGTGCACCCTAAAAGTCTTGTACCATTCTTTTTGTCTGAGTTTGTATTTAAACTACACAACGTATATTTAATTCAACTATATTCCTGTATAGCCATAGATCGAGCACAATATATATACACACCTGTTAATACGATAAAGTCTTGAAAATGAAGTACAGTAGAAAAAAACAAACAAACTTCAGTGCTAAGGAAAAAAATACAGCATGATATTATTGTTATTAAGGATTGTGTCGGATTAGGCCATCTATTCAGCATTGAGAGAGTGTAACAACCCAGCGTGAGTCTTCCTGTCAACAACACATATACTGACATATACACGTACACTTCAACTTCCAAATAATGTGTTTTGTAATACTACGTCGAGAGCTATTTCTAAGAAAGTTTAGCTTCTGGTGACATTTTTTATGGTCAATGCTATTGACGACACACAGAGACTCACTATTAGTGAAAAACTGTGGTAAACTATTGAAAAATTGCATTTTTTCTTTTCAGAGAGAAGATAATCGGAGATGTAAAGTATATGAGCTTGCAGTCTGTGGCAAACTCTACAAAACTGTAATTAAGAAAATTATTTTATAAATACTTTCAACTGAGACCAAGGACTAGAATGATCAGTAGCTAATTAAGCTTTGAATGGAAAGACGTCTAGCAGTAAATTAACTTTAGTTCCTTCAAAGTTTTATGAAATAAGATTTACTATATATAATATGCAACACGTTTCATATTGCTCTACAATACATTATATTTGATTTTTCAATTCTGAATAGATGACCTAATCAGACAGAATCTTTCATAACAATAATATTATTTTGTCATTATTTTCTTTACATTGAAGTTTGCTTTTGTTTTTATTGAACTTCACATTCAAGCTGTTATCGTATTCAAAAGTTCTGTATACATATACCTCTACCTCAAATTATACAGGCATATAGTCGAATAAAATTAATGCTGTGTAGTTTAAATATACGATTTAAAATTAAAGAAATGGTGCGAAACTTGTGAGGTACACTGTAAGAACATAGAATCTGTCAGTATCATAAGATAAGAACAATGAGACACTCTAAAACGTTCATAATAAACTATTCTCAATAAGATCTGTTTCTATGGATAGTTTCAAGTTGCAATTTGAAAATCACTTTTCGTTGGTATTCTTGAGAGGAACCATTATATTAACTTCAATAATGTCATAAAAATTTAGTATCTTCACAACAATACGCTCAGAACTCAAAATCTACTTCAGAATATTCATAAGTCATTAGAGTTTACATTATGCTCATAGTCTCGATTCAAAAGCAATTAATCATTTGAACGACTTCCGTCATTACCCAGAATGCAGATATATGTTGTAATGAACATTGAACTTCCTCATTTCTCTTCTTGTGCTTTCAATGGTATTGTTCGTATTTGAAACACAACTATTATTTTTACCACACATCAATCATCTATAATGGACTTATTTCATATGGATTTAATTAAGACTATAGAATTTTAATAGATTTATATTATGAAATAATATCTTCAAGGCATACGCCTAATTTTATCGTTCTAATAGATTATTTTATAAGATAATAAATTATATTGATTTTAGGTGGTGGTGGTACTCCTAATATTGGTTATTATTATTGTGTCAATATGGTTGTCGTTTCTGTAACAGCCGTCCTTGCTACTACTGTCATACATATATATGTTCGTGGTGATCGACGTCAAGGAATTCCTTTATCTATACGTCGTTTTTTTCTTCAATATCTTGCTCGTTTATATTGTATGGCACCAAGAACGCCAACAGCATTATCTGATACTGTTTCATCTCGTTATGGTTCACCATCTCCCGGTGCTCTTTTATTACCCGAACATATATTTTTAACACATCATTATCATGAGGAAGAATTTTCTAAAAAACTTAAATTACTTAAACAACGTTTTCATGAATTTCATCGACAACAACAACAACACGGTTTAACAAATGAAAATTCAATAACAAATGAAACAATGTCAGCACTTAGTTTAAATTTACGTTCAATTGAAAATGATTTAAAAGAAGTTCGTGATTATTTAAGACATATGAAAAAGAAAATTGAAAATAGTGATCGAGCAAATAAAAATGCTGATGATTGGAAACAAGTAGCACTTGTACTTGATCGAACATTTTTTTTCGCTTATTTTCTTTGGTTTATTATTTCTGTTGTTGTTATGTTTCCAAAAACAATTAATATATCACAACCTAATTGGTCAACAACTAATTTAGCAACATCAGAAAATGCTACTCTTGCTACAAACAATTTTACATTGATTTAACTGTTATATTCTTTTATATCTTTAAAAAAAATAATATATCGGTGCTTTGTTCATAAAAACCATTTTTCTTCTTTTCTTCTTATTTTTTTTTTTCGTTTTTTTTCTTTTTGTATGAATACTTAACAGTTTCGTATTGTATATGTAAATCTTTTGTTTTTTTCAGTGGGTTTCTTTTGCTTAGAAATACATGAAAGGTTACATCATTTTTATATACTACAATTAAATTTGAATTGTTTCTTTTTTTCTTTTTTTTTTTTTACCAACAATCAACATAATAGAAAGCCAATACTATTGATGATCAATGAAAAACGTCTGACTTTGTTCTATTGAAATTAATGCATAAGTAGAATGCAATAAAATTAATGACATCATAATAGTTATATCTATAACTTGCATTGTTTTTTTCTAATGATATTTCAACATTTGATTATGTTTATTACAAAAAAAAAGATTAATTTCTAATTTGTTTCCTTGTACTTTTACTTGTTTACATTAATTAACAGTGTATTTTCTTAAAGTATTGTTTATACGTTGGAGTTAAGCAAAAGTAAGATGTCAACAATGTAAAATTTGAGTGACAATGACATTGGTTTTTCTTCATATATCTTTGGATAGAGTTTGATGCAGTAATCAAAAATATATAGGATTGAATCTTTTTCTATCGTCTTATGAGAAAGCAAATTCGACAATACTCGATGAGTATGATAGTGGAGAAAAATTCTTTATTTCGAGAAAATTTAAACTGTTTACTATTTTTATTGCCGAAACATTTCAAACTGTATATTTTTTTTCTTATCTGCCGCTTAAAACTGAGTACATCAGTCATATTTTATTGACTTTACAGTCAAAAGTCTCTCCGGTACGGGCATATCGAACACATTTACTAAGGTCTGCCAGTACTCAAGTTTAGAAACCTGTCTACTATCGATTTCAAACGATAATGTGCTTCACTGTTGTTCACAGAAGTTTTGATAGAAACATCATAGAGACCTGCCAATTTCACCGTTCAAGAGAGAAGACTGGAGGTCATCAAAGTGCATCGAAATCCGACCGATCAACAATCGACTGATTAGCTGAGTTACTGATGAAAATTTTCCTAAAACGATATTCTGAAGCTATTTCTCTTTCAATTTATACTTTCAATAGAACTAACTGCTAGAAAAATTTACCTCTCTTTCGATCTACGCAAAGTCAACATGTATAGTTTGTTCAACTCGAAAGTTAAAAGGCTTTTCCCAAGACTTACAATTTCAACCAATTTATCTGCAATCACCTAGAAAAGCAACTAAGCAGGAGTATGTCATCATGTACTTTATTACATGAACGCTGATTGTGTAACTACAGAAATATTAAGATAGCAGAGTCAGACCAATTCAAACCTAAAAATAAATCTCACCATTCAACTCATCACGATGAATTATTCCTGTCTAGCTGCATTTTCGAGTGACAACAGGTAAAGTAGTTGAAATCAGGGGTACTCAGGAAAAGGCTTACAACTCTCAACGGGAATAATTTAATAATGTTAGCCTTGTGTATATAGAAAGATGAGAATTTTTTTCTATCGACTAGTTCAATGCAAGTTTAAATAAAAAGGAAGATAGCTTGAGAGCACTTTTTCGAAAGTTTCCATCAAGAACTTACCTGGTTTGTCAAAATTTTAATCAATCAAATTTCGATATTTCTTTTATGGTCTCGAATCTTCTCTCTCTTAGATGGTGAAAACTACCGGTCTCTATGATATTCTTATCAAAAGTTATTCAAGAAAACAGTGACGCATATTATATTTCGAAATGGATAGTAGTTTCTTGTACGAAGAGACGAAGTCAACCCATGTCATCCATATCGCCTAAGTTTTGATGATTTATCGCGATTTTCATAAAAGTTAACGATTAATTGCGATTTCATCGAAAAAACAGTCGATTAATCGTGATTGATCGTCGATTTTTCGAGTAACGCAGATGTATCGCGATTAATCACCGATTTTTTTAGTAGTGTAAATGCATCGCGATTAGTCGTCGATTTTTTGAATAACGCAGATGTATCGTCATAAAGCGTCGATTATTTTGAGATTTGTGATTGGTCGAAACTAACTGCGTATTTTCAGATATTTTCACGGAAAAAATATTTTAAAGTTTTATAATATACTAGACGATAATTTTCTGACCCATTAATTATTGGTTTATTAGTTTAGATAAAAAAAAAATGAACTTGTTAACCTCTTCTTGTTCAGTCGAACTGTATCATATTAAATTACGTATAATCTACTACAATGATTGGTTTGTGTCACAAATCTTTGATTAATTTCACCAGAAATATTTATTGCTTAATACGTATACAAACGAAGATTAGTTTTCGATCGTTATAAATAGGCAGCTTCTTTCAATCATCCCAACTAATTTAAGGACATTTTCAAGGACATTCGTGTAATCAGTTAACAAAGAAAATTATTCTCCACTTTTTATTTTCTCTTCTCTTTCATATAAATTCCTAGTTCGCAATAATTTTAAAAAAAATTTTTTTCATCCATAAAAATATATACATTACTCATCTGTTTTACTTTGTATTAAGAACCAGAGACCAAAACGAATCAAACAAGTCCAATTGGATTTGATTCGGTTCAGATTGCGTTTGAAAAATGGAAGGTGTGGAATGTGGTTTGGGAGTGAAATTCAGTCTTCTATCACCCACAGCCACCCTTAAATAATTTTTTTTATTGTTTCTTTTTGAAATTACTTGTATAAGTGTCGTGGCCAATGGATTCCTTATATTCTTAAAAGAGCTGCATTAATAAAATATTAGTGGAATATATTTTCGTATTAAAAACGACTCAGGGGTGTCAATTTATTCTTATATTTTAATTTACGGATATAGTGAATAAAAAATAATTTTTTTCATAATTCACATATTTAAACACAGATGCTAAAAAATATTTATATTTAAAGATAAATATAAATAACAATAATTTGTATGTAAAATAAATTATTTTGTGATGATTTAAATTATAAATAAATTTAGTTAGAAATAATTTTTATTTTTAAATATAAATGGTTATCATTGAAATTTATTTTTAAATGCAACTCATCAAAAAAATGTATTTATATTTATTTTAAAGTAACAGGAAAATGACATCCCTAGCTTTTATTCGTAGTAATATTTTCGTGATTATAACAATGTTTTGTTGAATACACGTAGAAAATTGAACAATGTCAGATATACGTAAGTATAGTATAATTGTATATATCGTGCTTCGAAAATACAAGTTTATCTGATCGAATCTGCTCTACAATAATAAAAAGCGAGTTGGAACGCACTCAGTAAGTGCAAGGGTATACCAATGGACTAAGTCGTTATGAGAGAACGTAAACAGATAAAGAAGAGACTCCGTCTATAGGCATCAAAAGTCTTGAAAAAAAATTTATTTTTTCGCCTTTTTCATGGGAAACCTAGACTGATTATGCAAGCGTAAATTAATCGCGATTTTTCTTAAAAATCAGAAAAAATATCGGCCAAAATCGGCAGTTGCAACGATTATATCGTGATAAGCTCTCACGATTAATCGCCCTAATAAGTCACGATAAAATCGTCGAGTTTTTAGCGATTTTCAGGATATGGGTGTTCTATTATTAGTGAGCAAATGGGAGTTTTCGATCTAACGGGTGAAATCCTGCAAAAATTTACTCCAAATGCAGTCATTTCGACTAATACACTGATATAAACAAACAAAACAAATGTCATATTTGGATACGGATGGCTGAGAGTAAAGGAAACACTCAACGTCATCTATTGGAACACTGAACTTTATGGAATTGTCAATGATATATAAACGTGCTACTGCTTTTCTATGTGATGATTTTGATTTAAATCAGTTCCATAATTCATTAGTTAATAGCAATGTCTTCTTTATGATAATATTATCAATCTAAACAACTGTTCATGATCTTCAACATGAAGATAATCATCGTGCATTGATTTCAATCTTATATTCGATTGCTTAGCTGCAATTATGTCAGTAATTACATATGTGCCTAATGAGAACTCTATTTTATTAATTGAAATAAAAATCTAGCATATTTAGAAGCAAAACATCAACAGTTGATAATAGCAGCATCAATGTAGTCTATGCGTTCACTCAAGAATGTTGATACATCAATTGGTTGTTCTGAACAATTGTCAATATTATCATAAACTTCAATGTTTCGTTGGATTTCATCAATAATCATCGACCATGTCAAATCCAAATCATTCAATATGCCGCATATATATGCATCTTGCATCAAAGATAATATAAACATTAAGATATCAATAAAACTGTCCATTGTAGAATTTGAACAAACTAATATGAAATTTTATCTAAAAAAAACAATTAGTAATATTAATATTTTTTATTTATCTTTTGCTTTCTTTTATCAATATAATACAAAGTTCGGCAAAATATTTCTAATAAAAAGTAATATAGCTGTGAAAATTATATTTTGTCTTATATTGTTAATAGACAAATTTTGATCAGCGATGATGGTTTTTTACATTTTTATTAACGATAGTGAATTAACAAAATTTATCAGCCAATCAGTATAATGCTTTATGATGTAAAATTTATTGTTATCATCTAATGTATGCGTTAGTATTTAAGAGAGATAACGTCTAAGCTCAATAACTCACCAATGGCAACAACCAGCGGCATGAGTTTTTTAGCAAGCGAATGAAAAGAATTCTAAACGTCTACTATATAAGAATGCAAAATTATTTAAAAACCTATCGTCTTCAAAAGAAGTTTCAAAAAATACATGAAAACAGTGTTCCATTTTGATATTGATATGTGTGCTAGGTAGAGGTATTTCAGATCTAGAGTTTAAGACACGATTCAAATAATAATTTTCTCATATTTCAATGTTGAGCAAACAAAATCGTGTATGTATTAAATCAAATCATATAGAATCCTGTATATGTTTGGCAACATTGTCTTGCAAACGAAACACTGTTGATTATGTTTGTTAAGATGA